GGTTCAGATCACAGCATTCAACTGTAGACCAATTACATAGGGTCACAAAATTTATCGAAGATTCCCTTGAAAAAGGGGAATATTGTATTGCGGTTTTTCTTGACGTTGCGCAGGCGTTTGATCGTGTTTGGCATGAGCGTCTCGTTGAGAAACTATATAAAATGCTCCCTTGCAACCATGTGGAGCTTCTTTCCTCTTTCCTGTCGGGAAGACAATTTAGAGTAAGATATGAAAACTCAGTGTCAAGCTTTAGACGGATTGAGGCGGGAGTTCCACAGGGCTCCTGTCTTTCTCCCCTTCTCTACTCTCTCTTTACTACAGACATCCCACAGTCTGGGAGGGGGGGAAAGTTGGGCATTTATGCTGACGACACTCTCGTGTTATCTTCGTCCAAAAGTTACAGGGAGGCAAGACAAAATGCACAAACGCATTTAAATAAAATCAATCACTGGACCGAAAAGGACAAAACAAAATTAAATGCGACAAAATCTGTAGAGGTAGTATTCACAAATAGACCTTTTGTCCACATCCCTCTTCTTCTTGGAGAAACTGAAATACCCAAGGATAAAACAGCAAAATATCTCGGCCTCCACCTGGATTCCAGGCTCAGATGGGGTTACCACATTATGAAAAAAGTCGCTCAGCTGCGACTGAAATTCTCAAATATGCAGTGGCTCTTGGGTCGCAAATCTAGGCTTTCACTTCAACTTAAGCTGCTCCTCTACAAATCAATGTTGAGGCCGGTTTGGAGTTATGGCTGCCAATTGTGGGGTTGTGCAGCCAAGTCAAATCTAGATAAAATTGAAGTCGTCCAGATGAAAATCCTTAGAAGCATAGTTAAAGCTCGCTGGTACGAGAGGAATGCAGATATTCGCGCTGACCTCAACATTGAATCTGTGGAGGATTACATCACCAAGATGTACTCTGCATATGAATTGAGATTACATCGGCACCCCAACCAAGAAGCGCTTGCGCTCTTGGAATGGGACCGATGCAGTCGCAGGCTGAAAAGACGCAAGCCCTATGAGCTTGGAATTCAGGGCTTTTCTAAATTTTTTCCATAAAACAAGAGTGCCTCCCCGTACCTTTTGGACGGATCAGGGGCTCCTGGGTCTTTGACCGGGATCGGTCGACCGTAGTTTCAAATAAAACAAAATACAGTAAAATTTAAACAAAAAGACATTTTTATTTTAAAATAAAATATGTTTTCTTACTTTCCTCAATCTCTAGAGGTAGTATCTTTTTATAAATAGTTAAAATTTTGTTTCCTATGTTAAAATTTATATAATATGTGTAGTAGCTAAGTTATTGGCAGTTTAGTTTAGCTTTAAAAGACATATAATATGTCTAAAAGTGTTAAATTGTACATTGATTATCTAATTGTGCAAATAAAAAAAAAAAAAAAAAAAAAAAAAAAAAAAAATTGTGCGTGTCCAACTCTTGAGTAATTAAATAAATCGAAAGCGAAAGTTTGTCTTTTTATCAAGTATACATTCTCTCGTTAAGGTTCAGCAGTGACCTTTTCACGACGTGCAGTCGAATTCAAGAGTCTTAAGCGCGTTAAATTCTGGGTGAAATTCCGATCGCCCCAGACTTCGAAGTGAAGGGAGGCCGACGAATTTAATTGCGATAAATCTACTCACAGAGCTATTTTCATTGACGCAAAAATGCAATCGGAGATCCCAGAGAGTACAGGTCTCTCAACTGCGCACAAATTCAGCGCGGATAGACACTTAGATGGCATTTCAAGAACTTTTGTACTTTTAGAACCATTCGCACAGGCTACTTCTACTTGAGAGTTCGGAAAAAACTGAATCTGGAATACGAATCAAAAACTTTCCGCGCAACCTTCATGTCTTAACATTTTGCATCAATGTTCCGATTGCGAAGTGCGAAAAACACGTATTTCTATTGCAACGTTTAAAAGTCTCGGAATATGTTTCATTTTCTTCAAGGAAAACTAATCAAAATGCCCCCTTGGAACAGTTTGTGCTTTTCTTAGAATGAATGCGGGAAATTCACATGACGCTTTCCAAAGAAACTCTTGGATGGTTTTCCTTTAAAAAAAATAAAACATTAGCGGAAACTTACAACGTCACACCCTGAGGTAACATTTTTCAACTTTAACCACTTTAGGCAATAAAGAAGTGTGGTACAAGCTTATAGATGCATTTATTTAGCACGTAAAAAAGGGCAGAACTTACTTTCCATGTAAGATTTTCAACGAGGGAACAACATTCACTGAGGTTGACACCGGCCTAGTAAAAGCTCACCAGGTTCGTTGAGGAAATTACTTTTAGTTCCAATTCGGAACAAGTGGGATACGCCAAGCACTAAGAGCAAGTGCAAATTATGCCAAGAGTCAATTATTTTAAGCGGAGTGTATCCGATAAGAATTGTCTGGAACCTGTAAATGCATCGAGAGAAAAATCGACGTACCCGACAGAGCTAACGGATGATCTCTTTTAACGAGGCTTTCCACCTTACACTGGATTAAAAGTCTCTGAATGGCTCTCCGAACGACCTCTTAATGGCCGCTGATGGCCATCGTCGGAGACTTCCTCGTCCATTTGCATTGCATCTATTTATCGCAATTATCATTTTAATTTCACGCACTCTCCTCCGTTGTGAACTGCGGCTCTATTATTCGCATGGTCGACCCATTTGCGAGGATCTTAACTTAATAAGTTCTCGACTTCGTCCGCGAGAGGGGGCGACCGTCGCTTCTGCATCTGTATTGTTCTGTCAGAGACAACTCGGCGGGCCTAAGTAATCGCATGTCCCGAGGGGGGTAATGCCTGTCATTACGGGCCGTAATTACAGGAATCTCGATCTGCTTCCGGATTGGGCCACGCAGCGGGGGTGGCGGCGGAGGGGGAGGGGGGCGAAAAAGGAGAAAATTATTTTGAAAACCCAAGCGCGGCGCGTCACAGGAGTCCTTGACTCGGAATCAGCCGAGCAAATGTTTACGTTGCCCGCGCATTATTCAGCGAAATATCACACGTTGCAATTGGCAAAGACAAAAGGCCCATAAAACGAGAACGGTTTTCTTTGAATGACTATGATCGGATCGTAAAACCGATGGATTTATAGCGGCTGCAATCTTCCCTCCGCCACGGGTGCCAGGGTTGCCAGATCTTAGCCTTTAGAGACGAACCATCGGTTGCTTCTTGTACAGTCCCCTTAGAGAGGATGATCCAAAAGCCCCGCACTACCAGCCCGAGGCACTTTCCGAATAACATTTGCACACATTGAGATCGAGACTTAAAATTTCGCGAGTGCTCATAGGTGAAGAGAAAAGACTTTTGGGAACCTCCAAAATTTTTAAGAAACCACCCTAAAAATGAACAAGAACTTTAGGGTTGATAAGGGTGGTACGGGAGTTTTGGATCATCCTGTATACAGTTAAGGACACCCCGCATAATGGAGGCAAATATAGCCATGGATGTTACACACTACTCTGAAGGGTCTTTAATGGTATTTGATCAACCTATTCCTGTATTCCTTCCTCCCACTCCTCTTCTCATTCCATGTGTTCCTCGCCGTGCTCAACTTCCTTACAGCGCTTTTTTGCATGATCTTTGCGTCGATTTTTGACTTCATAAGAACCCATCAGAAATTGACTTCACGTGTCTTAACTCACTGTCTCTTGGTGATGATGGAAACCTTTGCCTCTGAGGCTCCACCACTCATACTCTTGAAATGCTCGCCCTCTTGAGTGTTGAGCAACTTAAGGAAGAAGTCGTCTGATAATCTAACCATGCTGAGTACAACCGTTGAGCCTCTGCTCAGCCTGTTGCTAAAAAGTCAACGAGGAGAACGAATGAGGGTCACTGTGCATTAATCTAGGTAGCAACGTTGGTAGTTTTGTAATAAATAATATAGCACAATTCACTCCAATTCTGGATCAGTCCCTCCAAAAAGATGGACAAAATATCAGTTTTAAAAACTTAATAAATTGGAGTAAAGAAACTATGAAGCACGGAAAATCTAAGTAGGTACTTCCTTTTGCTCTAATTCATTCATACATATTTTCTTCTGGCACACGGAGGAAAAATCTTCGTGCACGGGACCCGAAGTTTAGGTCATGTGGATCTCTGAGGTTTTTGGATTGAGCATCTGAACACTTTAGGTCCAGCTGCTGAGGTTTGGATCACACATCTGAAACTTCAGTTCTTACATCTGAACTCTGAAGTACTTTGGTTTTCACATCCGAAAAACTTCGGTTCTCACATCTGAGGTGCTTCAGATGTAAGAACTGAAGTTTCAGATGTCAGACCTATGAACTTGCTCAATCCGAAACCTTCTGAGATCCATATGACCTAAACTTCGGGTCCCACGCACGAAGTTCTTTTCTCCGTGTATGTCATCAAACAGATGAAAATTTTACAGGAAAGTTCAGAAAGTTTTCATAGGTCTGACATCTGAAACTTCAGTTCTTACATCTGAAGTACTTCAGATGTAAGAACTGAAGTTTTAGATGTGTGATCCGAACCTCGACTAAAGTGTTCAGGTGCTCAATCCGCAAACTTCAGAGATCCATATGACCTAAACTTCGGGTCCCACGCAAGAAGTTTTTTCCTCCGTGTGCCAGAAGAAAATATGTATAAATGAATTAGAGCAAAAGGAAGTAACCCACGCACGAGGTTTTTTTCTCCATGCACAAGTGTCAAAATGAAGTTTGAGTTAAAGTCAAAAATTGGTATAGATGCGCCCCTTCAAGACACGATAAAAATTATGCGTATTTTCCGCACAATTTGGCAAGACCGCGGGGGACCCGCGTTCCAGCGCCAGCCCTGCGCCCCCGGCCGGAGGACCAGCTCCCGAATCAATTTTCCGCAATTTAACCGCCCTCCCACCGTTTGTTTTCCCTCTAAACGCACCCGGGATTACGGTGCTCCTCGCGCCGCGATTGGCGGGCGCCGATTGCAAAATCGCGGCGTCGCGCGCGGCGCTCGAGGTGTCGCGTCGCGACGCCGCAGTCGGAGTTTGCGCGATGCTCCGGGTCCGTGCGAATGTTCCTCATGCGGCGCGTCTGTTTTGTTTTTTCTGGAGTATCGCCTCGTCGCGTCGCCGTCGTTTCGGGAACACGAACAGGTGCTTCAGTCCGGATCAATCGCTACCGACGTTCGCCACCTGACGTCGCGTCCGTCACGTCCACGTCCCCGTCTCGCGGTCTCGCGCTCTCCTGCCGCCCCCGCGAACTTTGTGCGTGTCGCGTTCCCTCCGGCGCCGTGCGCTGCGGCCTCATGCGCCACGTGAACAAGGCCGCCAGCTGTGTTTTCACGCGAAATACGAGGAAGTCCTCGAGCATAACCTGGAATTTCAGGATGCACTAAGCACTCTGGTGAGCTGCGCTGTATTGTCTCTGAAAAGACTTGGTTTTTCGTCGTGCTGCGAGTGAGTGTAAACGGTAGGGCCAAGGAAAAACCAAGAGGGGGAAAGTTAGGTTAAGTTCACATTTTGAGGAAAAAACTGAGGTTAGGTTGGGTTACTGTAACATAAATTGGATCGCGTTTAGCAAAAAGGAACCACTATTTCTGGCTTATTTTAAAAACAACATACATCCCATTGGTTACCTCACGTAGAAACGTGCTTTTGTGGAAGAGCCAGAGAGAGTGGTTCCTTATTGCAAAATGTGATCCAATTGTTGTGGCGGTTTTTCGTACTTTCAGGTAGGGCCAAGAAAAAACCAAGAGGGAGGGGAGAGTTAAGTTAAGTTCACATTTTGAGGGGAAAAAAACTGTGGTTAGGTTAGATTACTATAAAATAAATTGTTGTGGCGGTTTATCATACTTTCAGGTAGGGCCAAGAAAAAACCAAGAGGGAGGGGAAAGTTAGGTTAGGTTCACATTTTAGGGAAAAAAACCGTGGTTAGATTAGGTTACTATAAAATAAATTGTTGTGGCGGTTTATCATACTTTCAGGTAGGGCCAAGAAAAAACCAAGAGGGAGGGGAAAGTTAGGTTAGGTTCACATTTTAGGGGAAAAAACCGTGGTTAGATTAGGTTACTATAAAATAAATTGTTGTGGCGGTTTATCATACTTTCAGTGTAGAAATCACCAGAGAGTCGTCTGGCGACATCCTTAAATTTCTCTCAGGAGCAGGATATAATAAGCATACTAATGATGCTCCTTCACGTCGCTAAAATAAATATTGTCTCTAAAAGAAATACTGAAACATCGATGGGCGATGGTATTTCGATCCAGGACCGATAGTAGGTGAAGACCCCCATGCAAGGTTAAAAAAAATAATTTTTCAGGAAAATCTGATTTGCATATTTTTTGTGCCATTTTCGGGAATTACTCAGAAAAAAGGAACATATTCTATAATTCCAGGATGCAATAAGCACTCTTGTGAGGGGATATCCTTTCCCATTGCCCTTGAGGAGGCTGCCTTTTATGTGGTGGTGGAATTAAATATAAATGATATGACAAACAAGAACCGGGAGATTTTCACATACTTCCAGTGCAAAACAAGAATTACTTCAATTACCATCAGGGATAGGATACAATGAATATACCGTATTGGATTTGCTTCAGAGTGTCCCTCTATATTATTTCTGAAGAGGTCTCAATGTTGCTTTGATTTGAGGGCAAATAGGAAACAATTTAAGAAGGGTGCAGTCGCAAAATTTTATACGGGGAACTCTGGACTGCAAAATTATTATACTATGTGTGGCTATCCATGATATTCTAAATAATTTGTAACCTCATCTTACAGTCTAGGATTCAGTTAAGTGAGCTGATGCTCTATTCGACTTTCTAGTTTTTTTCTCTATCTTGTTATTTTCCAATACGCAAAAAAAATAAAGGAGTCAATTTTTTAATTGAACTCTCTCACATTGCCTTTCTGTCAGTCTTCATTTTGTGTCGATTTTCAGAGAATGGGTTGAAAATTGTTGTTAAAGTACGGTCGGTATGATTTGGAACTGAATGAACCAACGTTGCAAAATACTGGTTACGTATATTTTGTCGTGGAAATATGAATGAAGTTTAAACTTCTTTTTTTATTTTTGTGGAATCCGGAAGAAAACCTTACCTCAAACAAAACAGTGGTGACCAGTATACCTTCAAGATAGTTGAAAAAGTGAATAGTGAAAGTGAAGAGTGATAGTTGTTGTGTATAGTGAAAATTTTGACCATTCGAAAGCCCCTCACATTTGAAACTAAATAGATCAACTTGTATTGGAATTGATCTCTCTTTTTCTGTATCAAATTTTGCTTTGATTCTGTTCTTGAGTTATTCGGCATTTGATTAATTCGTTAGGATCAATTGAGCAATTGAGGAATGAAAGGTATCATTATATTTTCATCAATTTTTTTCGCGACGTAAAGATTGTAGATTCTCATGATACTAGTTCAATAGTTGCGCACTAACTACATCTTCGTGTGCATTCCAAATCACCAATTGTATAGTTACGCTCATACTTCGTACTCAAGTAATCATGACTTCAAGTTGTCGTATTAATGATTGTAAAAGTGTCGCCTCAACCTCAGCGTTCACATAAAAAATGCCCATTAGGTCGTATATTTCCTCTCTGAGAAAAATTGCATGTTTCCTTGTACTGGGACAGCATGCTTGTATTTGAAAATTGTAATTATCTCTACAGGCATGCATTGTTTTCCACTCGTCTATTCAAACTAGACAACTGGGAACTCGAGCGCAAGACAAGACGAATCAACATATGTGCGCGATGCTTTGACCCAGAAACTGAATGTGGTATTCTTATTTTAAGTTTTCCTGTAGAATAGCCGTGTAAAGTAACAAACCTACACGAGAAATGACCGTGGAAAATATTTTACTCGCACTATACTGCCGTGCTAAGAAAAAACGCCGTATGAGCCTTCAGGCGTTGCCATATTTCCTTTAATAACCAACAAATTTACTGGAAAATTCTGAATATTTTTCTTCCAATTTTCAGGCAATTTTGTTCCCAATTTAATTTAAAATATCGGAAAATTTTGAGGAAAAATACACATAAACTCTCTTCAAAAATATATGTTTTATTCGGGGAAATTTGGCAACTCTCGAATGTTCATACGGCGTTTTTCCGTATAGCACGACAGAATAGGTAAAGTTGTTTGATGTTCTAATTACATAGTCATGGGTGAGAGCTTGATTCCTCCCTCCCCCACACTTTACACCCGTTGTTAAGTAGGTAAAATTAAAAAGGAGAGACCGACCCTCTCAAAATTTAAACAGGGAGAATAATCTACATGTATGCCGCGCAAACATTCACAACACCACGCAAATTTTTCTCGGGAAAACTGAATGAGTTTTTCATGAATTGGTGTGAATTGGTTAAGGGACGCTATAGTCTTGAAACATCGTATAAATTATTTTTAATTTTTGAAAAAAGAAGAGAAAAATTATAATATTTCGGTTTGTTCCTCCCACTCAAAACCATCACTCACGCAATTAATCATGAACGTTTGGTGCGTAGAGGCTAGAGGTGATAGGGCATAATTATAAGTTGAGAAGTAATCCTCTGTAACGGAAACATAAATGACGCATATCTCACTTTATGATATAAAACCATGAGACAAACGCGTAACCCATAACGCCGGTGGCGCGAAGCACTTCGGGAGGTTGGACCGCGAAGCGGTTAGAGGGCGTGGCCTCCAAGTAAAATAAAATGTCACAAAAATACGTGATTTTTCCTGAAAAGCCGCAAAAGTTGTGATCAAGACTTGTTTTAAGAAAATTCTAACGCTACCAAATGAGAAAATCATGTATTTTTTTAAACGTGATAATCCTGTAACTTTAAATTAAATGCTCTCGTTGTCGAAAGATTTCGACTTCATAAAATACGTTGAAGCTTCCTTTCCGTACCTAAATATTTCCAGGAAATCTCCATTACCTATCGTTACTGGGTTTTGCTCAATACCATTTATTATTTTGTTTCAGCAAAAAACTAAAACTAGAAACCTATTAATTTTTCCCTCCCGTGCTTCGAGAGAGAAAATAAGAAAATTCTGACTTCCGGGTAAACTTGGAAAACCCAGAAATGTCGCAACAGATTCTACAGGTTAGATACCGAAACCTTCAATTAACTAGAATACGAGGCCTGGCTAAGTAACTAGCATTGTTACGGTTCCGGTGGAAAACCCAGATCGAGTAAACTATGGGATTCATCGTTGAAGATCCGTTGAAAGCGTTGAATTATGAATACGGTGTACGATTGAACATGTGTTCGAGGTGTTGTCGTCGCCACTCGCGAATCGCCAGGAAAGGTGTAATAAGCACCTTATTAATTGTGTTTTAATTCTACGGTTGTCGGTTCGCACCGTTTACTGGTGGTGACTGATGATTGGTGAGTGATTTATCTGAAGAGTCCGGCAACAGCAAGACCATTAAGTGACCGGCGCTAACCACTCAAAGGTTGTAACGATGCTATCAGAAAAACAAGACAACTTTTCCCACGGTGCAGATTTTTCTCTCACCATGCAGCCTTCAGCCGGAAGTTCGGGAGAATGTTGTACATTTTCGTTTGATCTCGAACCGGTGCCCACGTTACGTTATACCCCGTTAGCAAAATTGTCCAGTCGCGAACCGATCGATGTTTGTGTCCAGTCCATGAAGTGGGCAGCCAGTTCGCGGACTGGTCGGTCTATAGTCTGAAAATTACGTCAAAGGGCGTTAATTTTAGCTTTCTTCATACCTTGATCGACGAATTTTCCCCAATATCCGACTTTCTGACGCATTATTTGCTAGATTTTGAACGAAACTTTAAAGTATCAAAAGCATGTAAATAACTTTCACAACTTATTTTTTTTTTTTTCACTTTTCTCAAACGTTTAAAATACCAATTTGCGAGTTTTTCAAACTTTCCTTATACATATGTTCAGCATCTTGAGTGTGGATGTTGCATATTCAGAAATTGGAGGAATTACAAAGACTAGACTGATTGCGAGTTGACTGCAGCGCCTTGATGCAACTATTCGTGTTCCACGAATGCGCGTGTTGCGTGTTCAAATTTGAAGGCGTTTTCGTTTTTCTCACTTCTCCAGAGAACGGGATGTAACAACCAAATCGTGATGCCTCGGTAGGCGTTCGGAAGATGAGTTGCAGGGACCGGACTTACAATTAGCGGAGAAGAACTGAGCCTATCTTCGGGGAAAGGGGGGGAGCACATCAGTAGTAGGGTGCAACCAGGCCTGCATTCTCAGTTCCTCTTGCTAAATTCTGTCTATGGCGCGGATGGTTCTCTTTTGCTGTAATTTTTAAAACAAATTCGATTATATGAACTTCAGCAAGGCGTCGGCCCTGCCATTCGGCTCATGTGAACTTACCCACTTTGTATTCATGTTTCAGCATACTTTCGGTGCATGCATCCAAACTTT